CCCCAAAAGCGACTAGCCTCGCCGCTTGCTTGCCTGCGCAAGCAGGTGCGCGTTCGCCCTGCCCCATTTGAAAAGTTCACCTCCCCCACGTACGCCTCGCTCCCCTGTCTTTGCTGGCCTACAGTACTTGCAGGGATCTCGCAGGCAGGCGCCGTTTGGGTCCGGCAGCATGTCGTACTACGCAGTACAGTCTGGCTGGTGCGCCCGCGGATGACACACACACGGGTCGTTGCGGCGGCTGTGCGTGAACGGGGCTGACTGGGGGGGCTCATGCGCGCGCATGCTCAGGGAGGCGCCATCGGCGGATGGCGAGCGCCTTCCCCCTTGCAGGGGACAGGGGGTGGGCTTTTAGTAAGGGGAGGGCGGGCTGAAACATGGAACATCTACCTGAAACCCAAACCTCTTTCGATGGCGGTGGTCGAGGTGTTGGTTGTGTGAGTGATCTGTTTGCTTGAAGTGCTCTTGACTTGGCTCTGCAGCGCTCGGCAAGATGTTGCACATCTGCTGACTCATGCAGGCTTTGCAGGAACCCAATCCCAAATGCCTCAGCGCACTGTACACACCCTTGTCACCAGGATCACCGGCTGGCCAATGGATGTTGCCTACATGAGTGACATCGCCGTTGTGGTCCTGGCGCGCAACCTTGGGGCGCTGACAGGGACGATGGGCTTCAAGTACAACAAGGCAGGGTACAAGGGACGCCTGACGGCCGCTGGCTACCCGGCCCAGGTGGGCGCGGCAGGCCGCCTAAAGGGCTTTCATTTGTCTTTGGGTGCGCTCATCCAGGACTGGGGGCATGGCAGCATGGCTAGCCGCCAAGAAGCGACGCTTGCGCATCAGCCGCTATCGGCCATGGTGCTGCCAGTGCCACAGGGTCCACGTGCGTGGGCACTCCACGGCGTCGCTTGATCCGGCGCCAGCTCATATGCTGCCATCAATATCACACCCAAATCCTTGCATAGCTAGTGTCCTTGCAATCTTACCGATCATCCCCAACCCCTTGCAGACTGTGACTGCTGGGAAGTATTACCGCCTGGCCGGCCGCTGCGAAGTCTCGGACACAGACGGTGCCGACGGGAAGCTGCTGTTCAAGGTCTGCTGGGGTTTTCTGATAGGCAGGACTCATTCAGCAACGCCTGTGTATGCCAGTACTGTGCGGACTGGCACAGCAGCTGCGACGCGAGGGCGGCAGCACGCTCGTGCTGCTGGCCTCACATACACACTTGATTTTGCGTTGCCTGCGTGTAGCCGCAAAATTGATCTTGCTTTGGCAGCCAACGCACCGCAGCCAACACAAGTCATGTCAGCTTTTGCCGGATTGCACCCGTCAAAACCTGGCCCGACCACCGCAGATGGCTGGCCAGCAGGGCGGCTGCACGTCTGCATGCTCAATCGCTGAGGCTGGGCAGGTGGGCAAATAGGCTGCGCAGGGGTGGACAGCTTGTCATGGTGGTCGTTGACGGCGCTGTAAATGTATATGCAGCATTCCCGATCCCGCACAGACCAGCTGGAATATTCCCTTGCACAAGCTGGCTGCGCCAAGCATCCCGCTCTTGCCACGACACCCACTTTGATCGCCGCCGACAGAGCGGCCAGCCGGCCTGGCAAGACGGTGGCGCGGGCGGCCAGGCGTATATCATCGGCGTCCTCTCGCACGGCCCGCCCCCTCGCACCTGCAAAGAGTCAGGTGAGCCACGCGCCGCAGCGGCTATCCGGCGCCCTGCGCCCTGCCCTGCCATTCCCCAGGGTCCGCTGTCCTTCTCAAGGGGTTCCTCTTGTCGCTGGAATTTTGCTGGCTCCTGCAAGGGGAGCCAACGGGCGGTCACTCACCGCCCACCAGGAAGCTCGTCGTCTTTGACCAACCTTATATCGGCAATCCCTTATATACCGCCCCACAATTCTGCTTCTTGAACCCTCTTGTACCACCTCCCAATTCCAGACGTGTACTGCCAGGTCAATGAGGTATCCTATACCATGCTGCTCAAGCACCAAAACGCACTGCCAGCAGCACAGTGATGCGGCCGCCGCGCAGCCACCAGACGGTTGCGCTATGCCGGCGGCAGAGGCGCCAGAGTAGCGGAGTGATGCGATGCCAGAGCACATGCACCACGAACGATTTATAGGTAGCAGCACATTGTGACGCTTGTGTGGTGATCGCGGCTGCTGCACTTCCGTCGCCCAGCACTCTTTCCCCCCAAGCTGGGCTCTGCAGGGTCGTCAGATGCGTTGCGTGCCGGGCCCCTGGCGGCGGCCTCAGCCCATGATATGTGACCATATAGTGCGCAATAAGGGGTGCCAAGTTGCACACAGTCAACGCCAACCCACAAGCTGCATTGGCCCGACTTTCACTTGCAAATGCCAAGTGTGTGCATCTCTCTGTGTGCAGGAGGCCCGCGCGCACCCACTCAAGCGTCTTTCTTGCTTCTGGCGCCGCAATTGCGCACTCCATCCTTTCTGACCTGCGCTTGGCTGTCCAGCCGCGCGTCCTTGCCCCGCCGCAGCAAGGCAAACAACAACCGCCCTTGCGTGGCAAGCCGGGTGCGAGCCCACTCGCCTGCGGCTGGTGCGGTTGCCGCTGTGCCGGCGAGACTCACAAATGGCTTCATCAAATTTCTGCACTTTGCCTGCGTTGCTGCCTTCAGCATTGTTCCCCACAAATTTGATAGCACGGGCGTGGCAGCTCGCTGGGCAGCCCAGCATATCATATGGCCGGAAGGCCAGGAGGCATCACCGCGAGGGTGATGACTGATTCGATTGCATGGTACCTCTGCATATACATGCACAACGCTTGCGTCATGACATCACAGCTGCAAGCCCCCCATCATCATCCGTGCGTCCCCAGAGTGCATTTTTGGTCAGCGGCAAAACACGTGCATGGCCACCATCCACTGCATGGCATCGCCCTGCTTTAGACTTCCTTTCAGATTGTTCAGATAGTACTTTGGACACTGCAGTGCGAACGCAATTCATCTACATAGAGACGGCGCTGTAACAGGCGCTACCGTGGCTGATGGGGGGCGCCATCGGCGAGTCATCGAGCATGCGGCAGAAGAGCTGCAGTGATGTCGAGCTTTCACACGAGCAAACAACCAATCTGGCTGCCATGGCCCACCAATGTCGACAGATTTGTGGCGCTGCGCGTGTTTTCGCGCTTTCGCAGCTGATGGGATCCGAACAGCTGTCGACCCCAGCATATCGCTGCCCCAGCTGCGCGCTGGCGGCTGTCAAGCTCTCGGCCTGGGTTCGGCCACTGCAACTGAAGCATCACAGCGATATCAAAATCTTACAACTTAATCGATACGCCGTTTGTCAAGCATGCCAACTCCAGTCCCCGTGATGGGGCGGCCTGAGCTGGCGCCATGGGTGTGACAGCAGGTGGACGGCTGGGTGCACCTCCAGCTATGTCCCTGGCTCCCAGCGCGTGCGTGCCATTCAGATCACTGCCCGGACTCGCCGAAGAGGAAAGTATAGATGCTGTAAACAACTATGCCGGCGCTGCTGGCCGCCATGGTCAAGGGGATGGCCTTGGAAATGATGGCGTCGTTCGGGCCCTGGGAGGAGGCAAACGGGGGGATGGAGGTGCAGCATGATGGTGAGGTGGGGTAGCGAGCACCAAGGGCCAGCAATCTACTGCGTACGATACGCAGTACATTGACAACGAGTGGGGTGAAGATGGCAGGAGAATGATGCGCCGCTGCATGCTCCCCGTTGCGACGCTGTCGCACTGCGCCGCTGGCCTGCCTGGCGAGCCACTTGGCAGCCTATGCCGGGTCAAGCATGTCAAGATTCATATTTCAAAAGCATTTGCGCTAGGAGCACACGTAGTGGGCAACAGGCTTTAGTGAGATCGAAAGCCATCGTCTCACCTGCTGCCAGACCAACGGTGGCCGTGCGTGGTGGCCATGGCCGCCTCCCATCAGTAGACGGCTGAACCTCATCCTCTGACGCTCACGGTGCGCAGGAACAAAGTTCACGGGGCTGCTTGAGCCCTGGCGTCCACAGCGATGGGTTTTTTCAAATAGGACAGAACCGTTGAGGTCTCAAAGGATTGATGTGGCGTATGGCTCGGCCTGGCCAGCGCAGTGTCCAAGTCGCGCGCACGCGCGCGCGCCTGGTGACTCGGGGAGGTGCCTAGACCGGGGTTGTCCCCGCAGCGTCGTCCCCTGGATTGCAGGTGCGCGCAACTCGCAACTCCGTAAGTGCGGCTTGTGACAGACTTGCGAGGGGCTTGTGAGGAGCTCGCAAGGGACTGCATGTATGAAAGGATGGTGGTGGCCCACCCTCAGCAACAACCAAACCAGCTCGACAGCGCTGCAAATCGGGGACTGCACGTTTCCTGCTCCTGCATCCCAACATACCCATGTATCATGTCACACCGCTTCAGATCCCCTCGACTCCCAAGACGTCCGCCCTCTGCTGACTGGATCCACGGCACCCAGTACGCGTTGGTCTTGGGCGGGCCCGCTGGCCTCCAACCACCCGGCACCGCAAAACCTTCCTGGCCTCCTGCTGCAGATTGTATTTCATGATTGACACCCCAAGACTAGAGGTCTGAAAACGAGCTGAAGCCTGATCTGCTGGCTGGCTGTGTGGTTGAATGGGCGTTTGTGCTCACCAGCACAACGGCCATTCCGGCCCCAGATTCGCGCATTTTGTCGAGGGTGTGACCTTGCCTACCTTTCCTGCAGAAGCCTGCTGTAGGTCATCTTTTCAGCCAGAAAAACCTTGCACGACACGTCATCTTGCACAGAGCTTGACTCCGCTATCACTGCGAGCGATGGAGCGGCTGCCCCCGGCAAAGGCGAGCCGGCTTTTCAGCTGCCCACTCCAGTCGACGTCAAATTCATGCGCAATCTCTCCCCTTCCAGAAAGCGTGCACACCGCCTCTTGATTAGATGATATCACTCCTTTCGTCTCGCACCACGAAGTCCATTACCACGAGACAGCAGTATGGCAATGAACAAAACCATCACATGGCGGCGCGTGTGTGACGCAAATCAGCAGGCCACCTCACGCCTTCTCAACAGTATTCCAACCCCGCCCCCTGCGGACGAATAGCAAACGAATACGAAACTCACGCCCGTGCTGGCGTGCTGCCGTCCATGAGGAGCTCCAAAATGTGGGCCCACTTCAAAGGCATGTGCTGCTGGGCTCCCATTGTCTGCCAGTGCAGTGCCAATCCTGCGCAGCTCGCTGCTGCCTTGCTCCGGCCCTGAAAAACCAGCACACAGCATGGGCGGGGCGTTGCGGCGTGCAGACGCTGCCACACCGCCGCACGAGCCAAGGGCGTGGCGCTGCTTCGCAGCAACAGCACGGCGCGTGGCTGGGAAATTGGTAATGTACAGCGAGTGCCGATGCTGTGTGCTCCCCTCCTAATTGGGTTATGGGAGGCCACGGGCATGTAGGGCGGAGGGCGCTTGCACATTGCATGTGCTGGGAGCCGGCCACACAGGAATTGCAAGAGTGGCTGCTGTGTGGGGGATCAATGCAGTGCAACCTGAGGCTGGTGCCTTGCGGAGGGGTGCGATAAGTAATGCAGACGGTGTGCTGCTTGCAGTGTTATTAATGCGGCGGGTGGTGAGTGCTTTCTTCGGTCAGGCGCAAGCTGCGTGTCAGGACTCCGTGCAGCTGCTGCCGTGTTTGAGTGCCCCATGAGTGGCGCGTAAATCGCTCAACGCCCGTGTTCCCGGAGCGGCCGCTGCTGCAGCCGGTGGTATCCATCCGTCTGAAACGCACGCATCCCACAAATAATCAAACCCCAGCAGTAGCGCTATTTGCGCACGTGTGAGCGCCCAATGCAGCCAATCTGCGGGGCCGCCACGCGCCGGACCCCATCCGGCCCTCTAGCCCCCCTGCCCCCCCTGCCCCCACGTCTGGCGTGCGCGCCACCAGGCGCAGCCGTGGCGGGCGGCGTGTGTGCGCGCGGGGGCCCCCTTGCAACCTCGTTATGGCCGTGCACGTCTGGCAACCGACGGTGCGGCCGCGGCGCAGAGCCGACCAACCAGCGGCAGCACTGCTCCTGCCCAACGGGCAGGGCGGCTGCGGCCCCGCGCCGCTTGCGAACACCGACCCGCTGCGGCGTCACGGCGCCCCCGCCCCCAAGTCCCTCAGGCGCCCCTCGGCCTCCTCAAAGTGCACCTGCAGC